GACTGGCAGCAGCTCTCCAAGGCCTCAGACCAGTGGTGAAGAATGTGTGGCCTCCCAGATGTTGCCAGACTGCAACGCCCATCACTCCTGGCCACTGACCATAGTGGGCTGGGCTGATAGCCGCTGCAGTCCAACAACAACTGGAGAGCCAGATGTGACCCACCACTGCTTTATGCCATCAGTTCCATAGGAACATAAGAAGCTGCCTTTTACCACATCCGAGCCAGTGTTAGAAACTGGGATGGAAAAGCTAGGAGCCAAAGGCTCCTGCAACCTAGGTTGTGGGCGCCAAAACAGAATCTCTTGTCGCCATTTTTTAGAGCGGGGTAGGCAAGACTTTTTATTTATTATTTTGATAAGCATGAACTAATATGCAATTCACATAAGAGACACATTGTTAATATCACATTTTTATCAGAAATCATAAATGCATGTTTAATTTGGTGTTTACAATAAAGATATTGGTACCATACTTCGGTTTTCAAAGCACTCTACAGTCGTACCTTGGTTCTCAAATCGTTCGACTTCCGAAAACATTCAGAAACCAAGGCACAGCTTCCGATTGGCTGCAGGAGCCTCCTGCACTCAATCGGAAGCTGCGGAACCCTCGTTGGATGTCCAGCTTCCAAAAAACGTTCACAAACCGGAACACTCACTTCTGGGTTTGAGGCATTCTAGAGCCAAAATACTCGAGTCACATGGTGTTCGAGAACCAAGGTACGACTGTACTCTTTATTGTTAAACTCCTTAACATAGTGTCTATCTTTAACATATTCTTCGAGGCTTCAAAGCACTTACATTTCAGTAATCCTTGAGTGTCAGCCAGGCGCAAAAAAATGGCACCCAGACTTGTTGAGGTGTTCACAAACAGAGAATCTTTAGGTGCAAAATGCGTCTGGCGCCCTGCTAATTTTGAACCCTGCATCAGACCTCTGATCCATCTAGCTCAGTACTGTCTACACTGATTGTTAGCAGCTCTCCAAGGTTTCAGGCAGGATCCTGTCCCAATCCTACCTGTAGATACCTAGGTTGAACCTGGGCCCTTCCACATTCAAAGCAGTTGCCATAACCAGCAACCTACAGCCCATCCCCACAAGCCTGCCTTTCATCCACTGCAAGTGATATCCTTAGGGTCAAAATCCCTATCTTGCAACACCCATTTTTTTGTCTTGACTCCAACACTAACCAACGATAATAAAGAAAAGGTCTCTTATGTGACAAGTACCTGTCCTTCAAATAAGTGCAGGGTTCTAGCTATGAGAGTGAGGGGGTGCAAGTCCCCACCACAGCCACCCCCAGCCTTGCCTACGGCTTGCTGAGTACCTGTAGTTTACTCCTGTGGCTTTGAATGAGAAACCAGATGCAATTAATAATTAAGGAAAGCAGAAACCCTTGGCCTGCTTTTGCTTGCAGACAATAGCCCGGCCACAGCCAAAAGTGCTAAATTCCATTGCTCTTTAGTGAAAACAAATGCCATGTTTCCTCTTGGAGTAATGAGTCGTCAGTCGGCTCGCTCGTCAGCCCTGAATGAGCAAAAATGGACTTACAAGGCAATAAACATTGCTTAGCTTCACACCCAGAATCTGCCCCTGTGTGCGAGGGAAAGATGGTTTCATTTCAGAAGAAGCTGGAGAAGAAGAAAAATTCCTCAGAGTAAATTGAGCAAAAGCATCTCTACCCTGGGGGTGAAGTCTGATTAAAATAAGTCTTTTTGACGCAGAACAATTCTCGGCTCTCTACTACATTTAAAGATTCCCTGCTCTGCCAGGCCACAAGAAGATTTGCTCTCTCTTTCACGGCAGACCTATTTTTTTACATTTATATTTCACCTTTCCTCCAAGGGGTTCTAAGTGGTGAATAAAATTATTATTATTATTATTAACACCCCGCCCATCTGGCTGGGTTTCCCCAGCCACTCTGGGCAGCTTCCAACAAAATATTAAACATTAAAAGCTTCTCTAAACAGGGCTGCCTTCAGATACACCCGCCTCCCCATTTTCTCCTCAAAACAACATTGCACAGGAAGGTAGGCTGAGAGACAGTGGACTGGTCCAAGGTTACCCAGTGAGCTTCACGTTCGAGTAGCGATTTTGAACCCTTGTCTCCTAGATTCTAGTCCATCACTGTAACCACTACACAACACTGCCAACCAAGCAAAGCAAAGCCACACACGCAGACATATCCCTACAACTGACAGTGCCTTGCCTAACCAACATTTTCCAGTGCTTTTCCTTACTCCAAAGTACTCTTCTTTGGAGTAGTCCAGCTTCCGTGTTGATTTATTTTTGTTTAAATGGAGGTTGTTTGGAACTGTATCTGAGAGCAAAGAAAACCAGGAGTCCTCACATGTTATTCTGTGTTTGTTTGTTTACCTTAAACCTTAGAGCAAAAGCTGCAGTCACCAAGGCTGGGGCAAGAAGCAACAAGTCTCCTCCACCATTTTCACCCAAATCCTTTCCAAAACTGGTGAAGGGAAAGGTTCAACTCAAGTAGGTGAAGACAAAGTTTGCAGCCCCCACTCAGAGTTTGGCAAGATGTAGCAAAGAAGAGTGGGGAACCTTGGACCTTCAGATGTAGTGAGGCTCCAGCTCCCATCAACCCCAGCCAACATGGCCAGTGGTTGAGGATGATGGGAGCTGTAAAACAACAACATCTGGAGGAACACAGGCTCCCCATCCATTGACTAAGAACCCTGAGTGGCATTTCTACCACGGGCAGTCTTGCATAGTGGTTAGACTCTAGCTGTTAATGGTGTCAGACTGATCCTGAGTTTGAATCCCTGCTCAACCATGAAGCTTGTGACATGACTGTGCAACATTTGCTTTCTTCCACCCTAGCCTACTTCGCAGGACTGTCACAAGGATAAAAGAGTGGGGAAGAGCCATGTGCCCCAAAGGTCCTTGGAAGAAAGGTGGGATAGAAACACCATAAAGACAGCAGTGCAGAACTACAGAAATATAATCCAGATGAAAAAAGTGTTTCAAAGCCACACTAGCGCTAGCAATGACAAGCCTACCACAGGGAAATCCATCTCCCAAATTCTTAGGCACACAGGCCTGATTGCAAGAGTCCAAACACAATTCAGACAGTAAGATTTAGCATCCTCTTCGTAGCCGTACACCCATCCTAAATTGCAACCTTTCTTCTAGCTCACCTTCCCTGTACTTTTAACAACTGCATGACAGGCGGAAATTCTACAGATGCAGCTTTTGCTGGCACATATATGCATTCAATGAGGGAAGCCATATCTGCTGAATGTCTATTGCAACTCTGTGAAAGGCACCAACAGAAAATAGAAAAGGTGGTGGCAACCATAATGTTATTCCACCCGCACTAATGTTCAATAAACCTGTGAGGTATGAAACACAATTACTCCCCTTTTCAGGCCTGGGAAAGTTCGTCCAAGACAAAGGGACTTTTCCAAGGGTACTCAGGAAGTCGATAGCAGAATCACAATATGAGGCAGAAGTTTTTTCCAGCAGCTTTGTTCAAATGAGAAGCAACACCCCAAAAGGGTACTTCCTCTGAAAGATATTCACCGGATTGCAATGAGGACCTGCTCTAAGTATAGTACATTCAGGATTGCAGCCTTGCGGCCCAATCCTATGCATGTTTATTGAATTCAATGGGGTTCACTTCTACATCATGGTGTGCTGTGATGGTGGGGAGATCCAGGTTTATATCCTGCTCTGCCTCGCAGTTTACTGGGTGATCACATGCACACACACACACACACACACACACACTCAGTCAGTCCAACCTACCTCACAGGGTTGTTGTGTAGATAAAAAAGTGAAGGAGCCATGTCCATTCCAACTCAACAATTACCGTATATTTTGCTCTATAAGACTCACTTTTTCCCTCCTAAAAAGTAAGGGGAAATGTGTGTGCGTCTTATGGGGCGAGTGCAGGCTGGGCAGCTATCCCAGAAGCCAGAACAGCAAGAGGGATTGCTGCTTTCACTGCACAGCTGTTCTGGCTTCTGAGATTCAGGATATTTTTTTTATTGTCTTCCTACTGCAAAAACTAGGTGCATCTTGTGGTCTGGTGTGTCTTATAGAGCGAAAAATACGGTACATAATTTTTTCTTTAGAGAATGGGAATAACAATAATGATACAAATCTAATCCAACAAGAAGTCTTAAGAAGATGCAACTGAAGCCAATCCCTGCGGCTGTGTAACCCTAAGTATCCTTCTAGAGTTAAGCTTCACTGAAATCAGTGGGGTTTACTTCCGAGTAAACCCGCTTACGGTTATGCTGCCAAAATGAAAAATCCGATGCGCTCCTCCTTGCTCGCAACTCCCACTGCGTGACGTTTACTTCTGAGTAAAGCATGGCTAGGATCGGGCCGGAAGCCGATCCCTTTCGCCTGCCCTTGCATCCTTGGGAACGGTGCACCATCCCCGACTCTTACCGCCAAGCCGTTTTTCCTGCGAAGCATTTCCTCTGCAGGAAAGGGCCCGGCCTCTCCTAGAGACACCCGGGCAGAAACTTGGATGCTTGGGAAGTTCCCAGAGCGAGCGAACGAGAGCGAGAGAGCGAGAGATCCTCAGCCTTCTCTCTCTCTCTATCCCAAGCTAAGATTTCAAGGGCAAAAACTCGAAACATAACAAAAAAAAGAAAAGAAGTAGTCATCCTTTTTTAAAAAAAAAAAGATGAAAAAGAACCCAGCCACAGGAAACCCTCCCAGTTTCCAGTCGCTAATTAGTTTTTTTAAGGGTCTGTCTACACACACTGGCAACTTGAACAAAGCGGATGCCTTGAATTCCTTCCCAGCCCCAGCTTGGTTTTGGCAGCGCTCTTGGAGCCCAGAAATCAGCCCAGGAGGAGGAGGAGGAGGCGGAAAAGGGCGATCGGGAGGCAGGGAGGAAGAGCCCCCCGCAACTTCCCCTCCTGCCCTGACCCCCAAAGCGCACCCCGATCCCACCCTGACCCAACTCACACATAGCAAACCCCCCCCCAGCCCACCAAAAAATAAATAAAAAATCCCCTCGCCTACCTCCTTCTTCTCCCCGCCGAATCCGCCACCTTTTTCCTTCCCCTAAGGAACTTAGCCGGGAATCGAAGGATCCAAGTCCGCCAAGGACTTTCTCGAGGAGCGGCGAAGGCGGCGGTAGCAGCCGCGCCACCAACCAGCAGCAGTTGCAGTTGCAGCAGCTGCAGCCCGGGGTTTCGTCGCCTCAGGCTGCGGCAGCGGAGACCCCCGGGGGCCCCCACTCCGCGATGCGCGGCGGCGGCGGCGGCCCGCTTGGATCCGGCCCGCTCGCAGGGCTGCAGTGCTGGGGCTCCTCCTGACAATGAGAGGCGGGGAGCAGCAGCAGCAGCAGCCCCTGCTGGCGGGCGGGCGGCCCTGACGTCAGGAGGAAGGAGAAGGGTGGCGGAGAAGGAGGAGGAGGAGGAGAAAAGGAGGGCCTGGCCGCTCGCCTCGCCTCCGCAGACTTTCCCTCAGCCGCCTTCTCTTGCTTCCCTCGCCCGCCAAAGTAGGGCCTGGCGAAGGGCCGCCTCGCGCGCCGCATTCGAGCCAGGACTCGCAAGGTCCCGCGCAGAAGCGTGGTCGTGAGGAGGGTTGCCCTCCTCCCCGTGTCAGCGCCACGCGCGGACCGCGGCTCCTTAAAAGGCAACGCTTTTCCTCCTCTGAGGAAGGTTTTCGCGCGTTCCATTTGCTGCCTTTCCTTTCCTAAGCCCGCCTTCCCCCTCCACTCCCTCGGCGTTGCTTCTTTCTTGCTCCTTTCCCTTCCTCGCGCGTTTGTCCTCGGAGCAACCCTGTGAGGTAGGTTAGGGTGAGCGAGACTTAGCCGCAAAGTCACGCAAGCGAGCGGGGGCGGGGGGAGGTTCAGCTCAGGGCTCAGGCTCCTTACTCCGGGGACGCGGGTCGTCTGGATCTCCAGGTGTGGGTGGTTTCCCCATCATCCCTGACCATGGATTGGCCGGTGCTGATGGGAATTGGAGTCCAAAGGACACCTGGTTCCTCATCTGCACCCTGCTCTTCAACCAGCAGTGTGGGCACTAAAATAAATTGGTACGGCGTTATCTATCACCACCGTGGCAGGTGGGTGGCACCGTGCTGGCTAGTAGCAAAAGGTATTTTTTTTTTATAAAGAGAGACACCTTTGATTAAACCTCCCCCCCCCTTTCTTTTCATACATCAGAAAAGCAGATAGCAAATTTCTCCCACCGGTTTTGCAAACCTGTCTCTGGAGAGCCTATATCGACCCATTAATGCTCTAGGATTATGTAAAATAACATTATAATCTTAATGCTATGTTTATTTTTTTGTGGAGACTGTATTAAATTTGATTTAATAAATAAATGAGAAAATGAGCAATTGTGAGATACAAGAGGCAGAGGCAGACAGTTCTATGCAAAGCGTTAGTACATACCAGCTAAGCACAGTGACCTTTGTTGTATTTGTTTTCCGGGGGGGGGGACACACAACTTAATTTGGAACAGAGCCTACAAGAGCCTACCTTATAAGCTATTTCTAATGTTGCCACTCTTACCCCAAAGTCGAATTCTCCTGGGACTTCCGGGTTGACGCGATCTGGAAATGGCGGACTCCCTCCGAGCTGCGGAGGGAGTCGGCTTTACCGAGGACGGGTCTTTGCCGCGCCGGCGACGCGGGGACCCTTAAAACCGCAGGCGCGGAAGCCTGCGGACTGAGGACTCGGCGGGTGCCTTAAGCGCCCCCCCTGATTCACGAAGAGCCTTTTTAAAGGCTGCGGAGAGGATACGGGGGTGGCGTGGCACTGAGAGTCGATCGCTACCTCGGTGGAGCGAAGCCGCGAGCCATGACCAGAGAGCGCTGACTTCCTTCCTTGAAAATTTGGACTGAAAGAATCACCCGTGAGTAATACGGATTGGGACTTTAAAAAATTTTTACCCTGAATTGGAGACGACCGGGGGGTGTGCTAAAAGGAAGTCCGCACCCCCCCTCCTGCAGACGATCTAAGCAACGGCATAAGAGCTAAGCTGGAGAGCCTACCCTTGATGGGGTGAGTTAAAAAGGACATTATCTTTCAAGATTTACTTAAAGGAAATTTTGGGCTGGAGAGTGTAGTTTTGGAAACCTTCTTTTTGTTTTAAACAACCCCCCCTCCCGGGCTCGGGAACGTCCTGCCTTTGTGCCTGTGTAAAAGCTGCGGAGTTTGACAGCTGTCAAAGCTGTCAAACGGGCGGTTTAAAGCGGAAAAATTGCTATCTAAGATTCCTCTGGATTAAGACGAGTTATAATTGAGTCAAAATCGTTGGAAACAAAGTAATAATAACAAGTTAAAAGACTGTTGGAGAAAAGACTAATAAGTAACCAGATTCCCCCTAGGGGAATTCTGTGAAACTACAATGGATACAATGGCTGTGGAAGGAAAGTTACTAGTGGAAATTGAAAGGATGTTTCAATTGGTGGGAACCTTACAAGAGCAGAGTTTGGCCATGAATAAACAACTTATGACTATGACCTTGGGAACAGGCAACTCTGCTGTTTGTATTGAGGACCTGAATGAGAAAGAATCCACAGCTGAATGTGAAACAATATCTACAGAGGTGGAAGAGACTAAACAACAAGAAAAAGAGGAGTGGACATCTGTGGAACACAAGCAAGGAGACTCTGGGAACACATCTACCACAAGTCTGCGAAAGATACAGAAGAAGAAGGAGGAGGCCCTGCGACAACATGGAAAACAGGAATTTAAAATAAAGAAATATGATTGGGGCCTCCATTTGGACTTTGACTTTGAAGACACAGACTTAGTGGGAACTTTTCAGCAGTTACTGTCAAACCTCCTTGTGGGAAGAGAATATTTTTTGATGGTGAAAGAACTTTTTCCAGACTCGACGACTGACATAAAGGACTACCAACAAGACAGGCGGAGAGGGACTGAAAGGGACTTGAAAGCCTCGGACGTGAGGAACCCAGGCTGAGAATTTTGATTTTGGATTTTTATTGGGAAGGGACAAAAACCGGGGATGGGAGGGAGGGAAGAGGAGATTCCTAAAAACTCTGAAGACTTGTAGGTTTGGTTAATATGACTTTTAATTAAGATAAAATGAAAAATCGATGGAAGAGAGCTTAAGTCCAACTTAGGAAAATCAATGTTTTATTATAAAAGAGGTAATAAGATGAATAAGATGGTTAAGAGGAGAAATACCAACTTGCTGATATAATCTTGGGAACTGGAATGCACGAGGGGGGGTGGGGGGAAGTCCGGGAACAAGGTTATGAAACGGGGATTTGCTGATTCTATACATGTTTTTGTCTTGTGTTCTTTTTTGTGTGTGTTTTGTTTTTATAAAAGCAGAAAACCCAATAAAATTGTTATAAAAAAAAAAAACAAAGTCGAATTCTCCTACATCTTCCCAACATTTTATACAGTATATAATGATATATACGGCCTAGGACCCTCGTACCTACGGGACCGCCTCTCCTGGTATGCCCCACAGAGAAACCTACGGTCTTTAAATAAAAACATCCTCAAGGTCCCAGGCCTCAGAGAGGTTAGGCTGGCCTCAACTAGAGCCAGGGCCTTCTCGGCTGCGGCTCCAATCTGGTGGAATGCTCTGTCACAAGAGACTAGGGCCCTGCGGGACCTGACATCTTTCCGCAGGGCCTGCAAGACAGAGTTGTTCCACCAGGCCTTTGGTCAGGGCGCAGCCTGACTCCCTCCTCTGGCAACCTGCACAGTATTTTGGTTGCCATCAATTTGATTTTAATTAATTTTTATAATGAAATATTTTAGAATGTGTGATTATTCAACTATTTGGTTATTTGATTGTTGTTAGCCGCCCTGAGCCCAGCTTCGGCTGGGGAGGGCGGGATATAAATAAAATTTATTATTATTATTATTATTATTATTATTATTATATGGAAATCATTCATTTGCCACACCTATCCTCACATCAAGATTGATACGTGAGACCACCAACCCTCTTTCTCCATCCTGCTGTGGTTTGTGCTAGCCTGCCTGGCACTGGCTTCCGAAACTGGCCATAACTTCTTTTCTTTTAATAACTTTAATAAAATGATATAACAATTAGTCACAGAAAGGAAAGGAAATCCATATTAGGGCAAAACCTTTATAGGATGGCTGCAGGTCAAAATGTACTCAACAATATTCACTGTTTGGATAGGTGATTATGGGGAGGTGGAAGGGAGGCAAGATAGAGCAGGGGTATTTGGGAAGGTACCATAGCTCAGTATCAGAGCACATGGTTTATGTGCAGGAAGTTTGAGGGTCTATCCCTGGCATTTCCAATTACGTAGAAGGGTCTCTGCTACCCTAGAGAACGGCTTCGAGTCATAGTACATATAGCATTGAGAAAGATGGGACAGTGTCATCAGTTAATTCATGTTACTTCATGTGGACTAGAGGTAAGATGCATGCATTACTTATTTGGAGATTTAACTGCTTAAAGACCCAAGAAAAGGGGCTGATTAAAAAAAAAACTCCCCAAAAGACTGTTTTGCAAGTGGCAGATAACAGAAAGCAGATGTTGCCCCCATCAAATAGGAGCAATGTGTACATATGGGCCAGATTCACATTTTCTGTCACTTGATTATTCAATCCTTGGGACTAAAATTTAGTACACATAAGAAATTCAGCAGCATTTTGCCAATTGAAAACAACTTTAGCAGTTGTTAGCATCTTCCATCTATTGTTTTTGAAATTCAGCTCTTAAGGGGCACTTTAAAAAAACAAAAACCCTGCAACCTTGTGATCATTATTCCTTTTCCTGTTCATAGAAGGAAAGGGGTGGGAATCTTGCATAAGATTGTTGCTCTGACAATGTACACTGCCCATGAGAGTACAGCTGCTCAAATGAGTAATTATTTGCAGAAGGGAGCAGCAAATTGATAGTCAGTGCAAGAAGTGAGTTTGCATATTTCTAATCTTCCCTCCACATCCTGATTTTTAGATTGTATGCTCCTTGAGACAGGGTCTTCTCCTTCTTGTAATTTGTAAAGCACCATCTATATGACAGTTCTGAGTCCAATGGGACTTACACCCAGGTAAGCAGGTAAGCCCTGGATCTCGAGAATGTATTAATACATTACACAAGTCAAGAGGTATACATTGGTTCTTAATACATTTCAAGGAAATGCTTACATCAACCTGTGTGACATAATGGTTGCCACTTTTACACAGATGTTACACACCATGTTGCACTAGTAATGTTTGGAAGGGTGAGACTGTGCGGGACAGGAGAAGATGTTATAGTTATTTCCATGCCAGTGCTGTCTGTCGCCTGGGAGTTGAGGCACTGGAGTAGAAAGTTACAACTTCATTCATCTATCCCATGTGATCTCCCACTTTCAAGCATGACCTGTTTAT